AGCTGTATTAAAAATGTTACTAATAGCTACCACTATTATTGTTGGTAGAGATATTATTGAAGCAGCACATCTCCTGATGCAACGAAGCAGTCATGGAGGTAATGGAGGTTTGGATACAGGGCATATCTTGAATGCTAATATGATGTGAGAAGTTGTGGGATATCTGTGGGAAATATTGAAATCAGCAGCAATGTCTCGGAGACATATGTCTAAAAATAAACCACACAAATTAATTGCTGAGACTGAGGCAAGGCAGAGGTGTGAGCAGGTACTACATCATCCCTATCTGGTTCTGCGAAACAAGCCTAAAGTTGCCTCTGATTAATTAATGACTAGATATAGGCTAGTGCAAGAGACCTGTGGCAAAATGATCAGAGAAAATAGATTGCTACAATTACTGCATGTTGGATGAAACATCAAAACTGCACGTGCATGTGTGTGTTAAACTATGTGCAGCACACACACGTGACCCTTTTTTTTCTTCACCAGATGTTCTTTTGCTTTCTTGTTTTAAGACAATATTGTGAAAAAAAAACACCCACTCCCACTCGGATGCCTCAGTAAAAGGAGGCTGTCTCCTGATCCATCAAACGCGCATTCACCAATCTAGCCTCTTTCCTTTTCAATTTTTTTCTGCACTTTCCAGGCGAGCTCTTTGCTTCTTAGGCAGGAGATTGCGGCGTGGCACAGGGAAAAGAGGGCTGACAGTAAATTAATGACTGGGATGGCGTGATTAGGGGGAAGATTGCCACCCACCATCAAAGCACATTGGATGCTGTCATAATAATCGCGCCTTTGATTACCAGTAATTGAAAAAGCAGTCACAAATGCATGGATGGCTACCACTGGCAGGCAGAGAGAGAAGACCATCTCTGAGCTTGGAGTGCTTCGCTTCTTCTGAACTTACCGAAACTAATCAAAGGAATGGTTACTAACGTGGTGTTTTGCACATGCACATCAAGGGATCCTAGGAAATGTATGATGTTTCTGTGTGAAATTCCAGATATAAGCCTTGGCCTGTGTTTTATTAATCCTAATTATCAGAAAGGGGAGAGACATTATAGGCTGAAATGAGCCCAGGGTGTGAGCAGTTTTAACCACAGGGAGAGAAATGCAGCAGAGAACGCTATGAATTCCGATTGTCAGTCTCTACAGGGAAATCAGGATATAGTGGGAAATAGGAGAATGAGTTCCAGTACATAAACTGTACTAACCTGACCACTGTAAAACCAGTAGTTTTCTCTACCCACTACCCCTGAACATTTAAACAGGGTTAGCTTATTTTAAAGGATCGGTGTGTTGGATTTAGTGGCATCTAACGATGTAGTTGCAGATTGCAACTCATTCGCTTCACCCTCCCTTTCCAAACACTTGGGTGCACTACGGTGGCCAAACATGTAAAAGCGCAAACGGCCCGATCTAGAGCAAAAAACAAGTGTCACCAGCAAACTAAGCTTAATTAGCAAACTAACTGGGTTTCTCCAATCTTTTACCCCGATTACAGAAACTTTCTGTCATTTACATGATGTTTATCTGTCTCTTTAGCTGCTAAATGCTCTACTGTTCACCAGCTTGTTGCTAACTTTGTTTGCTGTTTGCTTCTTGACAGGGAGTGTACAATGGATTTATCAAACCTGTTTCACTGAAAACAGCTGCCGACTGGAGCTGGCAGTCTGGTGACACAGCAGGGGTGCCACTGCATCGGGCTCCAGAGAAATTAAGCAATTGTGATAACTTTTCAGTTATAAAATCCTGTGGTGAGTATTACTATATTATTATTATTATAAACAGTGATGCATTATTTTGGTGTCTGGTAAGCTTATTACTCAAGTGGCCTTCTTGGTTTTAGCACAGGGCTGTTTTTGGTCAGAATACCTCCTGAAAGCATGACGTAAAACCAAAACAGGAAAAACACTAAAAAGCCATATCCTATAGTCCCATAGAGCTAAGTGGGGTAATGAGCCAGGAGATGAATCTAATCTATGAGTAACTCCTTTTCACATTACACATTTCAGTCATTTCATCCATCTGTAATATTAAAATATCCATAGGGCAGCTTTGAGTGCATATAAAGACACTGTTTGTCAATGTTGTACGTTCTAAGGTGGAGGTCATAAATATAATATGTATGAATTCCACAGGTGTTTGTCTTTTGATATCTCTGCTGATAGGGCAGTATGAACACGTATGTGGTATATCTGACCACATCTAAAGTCCAGGAAAATGAAAATTCTGTGTTTTCACATGAACCCAAGACGCTTTGAAATACACAGTATACTATGGATGTGTACTTTCATGGCATCTGGCATCTCTCCGCCTCACCATCCAGTATAGTCCTAATACTCTAGGACTCTCACGTGTTGATTAGTCTGACAGAAATGTGCTACTGTATTAGAAAGATGAATTCAATATAGATGATTTCCCTGTGATGTGATGGCAAACTGCTCTCTCCCACTGTGCCTTTTCATCTAACAAAGGTAATTTAAAGAAATACATTTTCTTCATTCTTTTTCCTCTCCTTCAGTGGGAAGTAAGAGATCAGGTCGACTCTGAAAGCAGCTTTTCAGCTTTCGTCTACACCCCTTTCACAGCCTTTCAGTTGACATACAGTAAGTGGGGCTGCATTAGAATGGTATCCAACTCCCCAAGCATGAAATAAAAAATGGTGCAGGCTACAAAGCATACATAGTATAATAGGATTTGTTAATAGCAATGAGGCATAAAGAGAGGCTTTAATATATGATATTTGTTCTGATTTGACACTGGGGCCTCTGTGATCCAAGCGGGTGCACAGATCTCTTTAAGATGTGAAGAAACAGCTCAAGCTCAGTGGGTGGAAGCATTCAAATGACAAATTTAAATGAAACAAATAAGAGGAGGGAGGGGTGAGCAATCATCATACATCAGACAAGTTAGAGGCCTTGCTGGCAATATGCTCGCACCTCAACGACTCGGAAATACAGAATATTGGACCAAAGCAGAGAGCAGAGACAGAGTCTGTTTATCGCTTCCCATCACAGTTGAATCAGTGCATCTGTATGTATATCTGTATCTGTATCTGTGTCAGAGAACAGCAGCCTTAAAAACATCACCTATCCAACTGCTTCTGTTACTTACACTTCAGTAAAGATGCACAAGCAAAGAAATGTGTTTCCATATTTTTTTTTTCTTACCAGCACCTGCCATTCACACCTCACTTTAATTGGGTTTGATCGAGCTCAGAGTCAAGCAGCTTGTGAGCTTTTTCTTCCAGAGTTGAAAAAACAATTAAATCTCAGGTAATACTGTCACCGTTTGGAAATTTTCAACTTTCTCTTTTTGCCTTGTAGAAAGAAAGAAGCAAAAACATGGAAGCGTGCCATCATTCCCAATAGAAAGGAAGGAATTTTTCAAGCTGTCTGCAAACTGGCTGATCATCTGTCACTACTGTTCCCCTGGGATCTGCCTGTAGAGTCAATTAGTGATTGCATCCTTCCACAAATTGTTAAGCATCATTAAATATGGAGTGTTGAGGGAATGTGTGTCCATGAGTTAGAGGGGTCAGATGTGTGTTTGTGTTTGTACATATGGGTGCAGTTTGGTGCAAAATTTTCAGCAGTTTCAGCACTTCAGCACTTAACTTGTTTGTTAGCAGTAAAGCCTTGCTGAGTCTAGACTTTTGAGGCCAATATCCATATCGATGATAACTGAAAGTTTAATTTTATAATAATATATTGGTCATAAACAGATATTTTGATAAGGATCCCTACAGCCCCTACAGATCCATTCACATAGCTGTGTTTTCCCATTTATGTTTATGAGGCTGGAGCCAGAAGACAATAGACAATATACTGTAGGCAGGGTAGTCTGACTCTGTCCAAAGTAAGTCTACTAGCACCCCTAATTAACACGTTATCTCTCGTTGGTTTATTCTATACACAAATAGAAATGTTAAAAAAAAGTTAAGTTGGGGTTTTCTAGCTACATGACAGTGACGAAACACTCAACACACCAACTCACTGCACCCAACCAAGGAATAGTTAAAGCATGTAATTCCCCATTAAACTACTAAATGTTGTTCTTCTGTTTTTTGAATCAAACTAACTAAATACAACGTATTAATTAGTGCCATTATGTAGCTAGGTTGTAACCTGTTCTAAGCTAAAGCTATGGGCAATTGCTTTATACTGGCAGTGTGCTAATGATCCTCTCATAACTCTCAGCAAGAAAGCGAATAAGCATATTTTCCCAAGAATTGTGACCAAGATATGCACTAAGGTAACACTGTACAGCTCTCAGTGTTCTCTTGTGTGCCAACTATGTGATGGCAACACTCTTTCACTTTCTATTTTTGGCATTTCTGTACTGTAATTATTTGTTGTTTGTCAAGCCAAATATGTACCAATATACAGTAGGCCTATATCAGCATAAGCTAGCATTAGCCAATAATATTATCCATGCTACTGAATCTGTCAGGGTCTTGTAAGCTGTGATGTCAATGCGATTCCTACCTCATACTCAAACTCCTCTGTCCTCTCTCCATCAGCTGGAACAGGGGAGAGGTAGTCTGTCCCTTCATAGTAATCCTGGTCCATTGTATGAAGAGAGTGACAGCTGTCAGGGGAGACAGATAGAGGAAGAAATAGAGGGAAAGACAGACAGACAGGGGGGCAGAGAAACAGAAAGAGGTTGGGCGTAAGCAAGATCCTTTTCCTCATTTTCTTTCATATGCGTTCAATACCTCAAAGTGACAGGATTTCCTCGCCTTTGTCTTTGCTGGAGTCTGAAGAATAAAGGATTTGTCAAGGGCTTTCACTGCCACTGGAGTGTGTGTGATAAAAGTACAGCTCCTTGTTAATAACAGCATTTGCTTCCTGCTCTTGACAGACAAAACCCCCCACATTGTACAGTGTAATTCTATTATACTTCCCTCAGTCACTGAACAAAACCACATTGTGAGGGCCTAACGAGATGAGCAGCTTCGGTGCCACACGAGATAATCACGGTGGACAAAAACTTCAAAGAGACACTCTGTTGAACATGTTGAGTGACGTGTGCAGGGGCCGTCTGACTCTCAGATTACCAAGCACTGTAAAACTGTCTCCCCAACAATCTTCCAGTCACAAAACCAGTCTGGTAAATGTCAGAATGCTTTATACTTTGATGCCCTAATATTACACATATAACAAGATTTGGCAGTGGGTGCAAAGAACACTATTACAAATTTACAGTCTAGCTTAAAAAATAAGAGTGACAAACATTTGTTGTATCTATAAAATCTTCTGTATATTCGATTGTGCACCTGATCTCAGATGAAAAGAAGTATATGTGAGTTTTATGGGACACATTGATTACATTTGGGCTCTGCCTGAGGCTGTAAGTAGCCCACTAGTACACGTGCTACTGTGTTGCCTAGTTTTTTATTAGCCCATTTGCTTTAATCACCTTGTAAACCTTCCATGAGTCAAAATGGATATGCCAAGCAGCTCCAATTATGGCAGGAAGGCCCCGTGGGGAGTTCTATGGCTATAATGTATGAGATATATACACGTGGCAATGATTTTGATCAGGTCATGTACAGTACTTTATACCTAGCGTGTAACACTGACAATAATGCAATATTTAATATTGAGCGATAAGGATGAAGCAACCAAAATTCCATCTCTGAATGTTTAAATAACAGATACTTCAATATGTTTATGATTGTTGGAATTAATTATCTACTGTGTCACACACACACACACACATGGATCATCATCACCATCCTGACTTCCCAGTTCTGTGCTATGAAGCTCCTGCATTGCTATTGTTCCAGTCCCAAGAGATGAAACCCAGATATTCTTTTATGCTAAACTTCTTGTTCACAGTTTACTTCTCCTTTGAGATGAACAGAATATAAACCAAAATGCTAGAAGAGGAAATAATGAACACTCTTTCTTTTGTTGTTTTCCAGCAAAACCTCTTGTTGATACTTTAAACTCTCAAGATCTTTTTTGTACATATTTTTATACCTTCCTCTCCCATAGATAACAGAAATGTGTCTTTGAGGTATTGTACTACCGAGCATCTAGTTGAGATGTGATTAGGGTTCTAGTGATTGTACCACAACATGTGTTGTTTTGAGCTACTTTGCACACAAAGAAACCAGAGCCTTATCATCTCTTCTTAATGTATGTAATAATAATAATAATTAAAAAAAAAAAAATAAATTATTAAAAATAAAAATAAAAATAATAACAATAATATACGGCTCAGTTTGGTTTCTGTACAGGTTTATCTAAGTAACCTGCACGTTATGTACTGACCAGGGAAACCAGATTCAACAGTCAAACTGTGAATGTTAATTTATCGGTAGATGTGCAAATGTGCAATGCATTTCTTTTGTACTTATCTTATCTACCACTCAAACACAACTATCTCCACACTGTCTGTGCTGTGTTCAAGTGATGTAGGAGTAACAATTTCTATGACTTGACAGATCCAGATGCTCACGTACTCAGCCACTTGAGACTGTCATACAAGACTACGTTTTTGGTGCTTGAGTAGCTCATGATATTTATTCTCATGATATTTATAAATGCTTTGAACTAAACATTGAAATGCCAAGCACACTTCACATATACATTCCATATTAACGGTTAATTGGGGCCACTTAGCCCTGTCCTTTATTTCTCTTTTTTTAAATTAGGTTTGTCCTATTGGTGAAAAGACGACGTGAAGAACACTGAGAAGCTCATTCATCAAATAAATCTATATTTGTCAGAATCGACTGTGCAGCTGGTTAGGCAATTCATTTATATTTTCCAGGCGCCTTCCATACTTGTAATGCTTATCCTGCAAACACTGATATTTCTGCTTCATAGCTCAATAACATTTCTCCCTACTCTTTTTTCCTTCTTAATTACCATCAGTCCCAGCCAAAGTCAAAACAAGGACACAACAACAAACTCTTGGTGGCACTGAACCGAAATCCTTTGTAATTATATCAAATCAAATGAAATAAAAATCTCTGAAATGATATCAAATCAAATTAAATAAAAATTATATCGAATCACTGACTTGACAAAGTTGTGATTCCTGTTTTGAGTCACTATCACTATTCGGATTTACATTTATAGTTTGTAAAATAACTACAAACACTTCCTATTGTATGTACCTGTCAGAGAGCAGGAAGGGACAGACGTCAGGCACAGGAGGGGTTGACGGCCGGAGCTTTGCCAGCGCCATGATGTGTTCAAAGGTGATGTCGGTCTGAGTACACTCGTCCACCACATGGATTTCCTGAGGGGGGCCGTGGGGGCGGCCGCTGGGGGTCCGCCTGATGACCTGCACCACGACGGGGTCCTTGGCAGCGCGAAAGGCCTCCACAGTCTCCTCATGGCTGGACTTGGACAACTCCTTCCCATTCACCTGAGGAGGATGGGAATGTTTTACTTGTGTATTCTGTGTATGTTATGAAAACTCTTTGTGCCTTATTTCTTGACTGTTGCCATAAAAACATTTAATAGAAGCAGAGCCGTTGTTGAGATAGACTTAACCTTACATGTTCAGCTGAATATCTGTGTGCGGAGCCAAAGAACCAGCGATTTCTGACTAAGAGACATTAGACTAGGCATACACCCTCCAATGACTCTCTCTCTCTCTCTCTCCCCCTCTCTCTCTCTCAATAGGTGGTCCGTATAAACATTTGGCACTCATTCAGTCTGCATACAACAGCACTGAGCTCTACATCCTCACTACTTCACTGCTGCCTGCTTTCATAAATGTAACTCCTTCCACCTCTCCAGCCTCCTCCTTTATTAGCATTTAGTCATATGTGGACAGTCTGCCTCAATTTTTCTCAATCTCACATTTGCTCTCACATTTGCTTCAGAGCATCGCATGAGCAGAACCACAGTGCCAAATTAAAATGAACATTGTTTCAGCAAATGGTTAAAACCGTGACATGAGTTGTACATGAGTTGAACCTGTTTACTGGAAAACTTCAGAATCAGATCCCAATAGTACCACCTCCACAGTCTGAACATGCAACATACTGTATGGAGACAATATTGTTTTTCCAACATTGCTTACTTTAGCTCTACAGCTGCGCTCAGGGTCAATGCATTCAGATTTTTTTCCTTAATGTCTTCTCGACAGATGATCAAAAAGAAATCTTTATGAATACAACATTGGAAAACATACACATGAAAACATAGTTTGATGCAACATTATCAGCCTGTTAGATCAAAGCCCAAATGGCCCCTGTTCACTCAGTCCATCTTCACAAAATGAACTGGATTTTCTGGCAGATTGAAAACCATTTGCACTACAGCTGGCACATATAAAGAAATTCATTGCTTCATTTAACACCAGTAATTTCTCTGGAAAAGAAATCATGGCTGTGGAATACCTCAGAGAATGCGCTTTGATATAAACGCTGAAACCAGAGATTATAATTTAGATAACCACAGAAAGAAAAGAGGTAGACACAGCATAATTACACTTGCAGTTATAGTTAAATGGTTTTGAAGTGGAGCATTTTGCTTGCACGCTAAACTGAAATGAGTTTAAATGATAACTAGAAAAGTAAAAGAAAGCATTTGTATTCACAAGTGTCTGCTGCGGAAAAATACAACAAGGTTGGGAAAAAGCACCAGTGTTTCAGAACTCAAATCACAAACTCAAAAAGCCTAATTCAGACTTACAAAATGACCTAAATTCATGAACAGTCGACAGTTTGAAGTAACCCAGGCTGTGTGTATGTAAAATAAATAGTAAAAATGCAGAAGCCACCAGGGAACTTTATGTTTTCAACCAGAGATATTCCATCATTAATTATTTACTTTTTCATGTTCTGTTACACATCTCACTGAATTTGACACAGTACATTTTGAGAAATGACTCAACATGTTTTGCGTAGCAGTAAAATATCAATACAACCTGACAGCATAAATTCTCGTTTTAGTTTTTCTTACAATAAATATGTCTGCTTACACGTTATGTTTCTTGATAAGTCCCCATCTGAGATATACATGACCAGACAGTCATTTTGTCTCTTTGAGCAGATGTCTTTTGACTTCAAATTAATATGTGGTTATATGTATGCCTGTGGTTCCCAACTGCTTTGGCTTGTGGCAAGGGCTGTAATTAATCATTTCTGCTGATTATGATTTTGATTGATTAATCATTTGGTCTATGAAATGTAAAAGGAAAAGATAAATAAATAAAACTTCCTAGACTCCAGAGAAGCCTCTTTTTACTATTTTACTTGAAAAATGACTCACTTATCAAAATAGTTCCCAATTATTTTTATTTTTTAACTGTTTAAGTATTGCAGACTGCATATCTCTGTGAGCATTTATAACATTTATAAAGTATTTTACAGTCTCAGATTGTTGAATTGGAAGTTAGAGACCAGAAGTCATTTGACTCTTTGTGCGTGTCCCAACTTTTCTTCCTCTTAAAGGGGCACTACAGCTATTGGTCATTGCCCTTCTATAAAGACAGACTTTAAGAAGGGAAACATGCTCGCCTCTTACACACCCTCTGATGACATCAGCGCCACAAAAGACATGATACAAAGTAAACTGATCTTCATGTGCAAAATCAGTGAAGAGCCCCTTTAATGTATTTTTTCAATTTAAGCGACTTCTACATAGCTATCATTATCTGATAACAGAAAAAAAGTATAATGTAAATATGGTAATAATACAATAATACTCTGTTACTTTCATTCCTGCTTTTTGTATGTGTATTTAATTGATTTTTCTTCCTGTTCTCAATGTGCGTCTCTAGAGACTGAGTGATGGCCTACAAAACCACCACCAACTTATTTTCTCAGCCATAACAGCAGCCATATATAACTCCCTTAGCTCTTGTTGTACTCTGGCCTGCTCCCCTGCCTCCTGACGTGACCTTTGTTTGTAGCGATGTTGCATTAATCACCTGAGCGGGGAAATAAACTGGGTCAACATCACTCCTGTGGAACTGCAGGGCAATTTGGAGGAAAAATAAAAATGCACTCGTGAAGCCTCTCTCATCACTCCTTACCTCACACCTTAAACCTGCTTTCATTCTCTTTTTTGGCCAGTCAGCAGGTATTAAATACAGCAGCACGTACATTAGAGTTAAGTACTGTATTAAAGAAACATAAAGCACTATAATTATTAGCTTATATGATTCCTTTGACTGTCCCTCTCCCTCTCTGTCTTATTTTCCTGCTTGTCTCTAGCTCCGCAGGCTAATCCTGGAACAGGGAGCCTGGTGGAAACAAAGGAGTTGGAGCAGATAAATGACGCAGCCTATGGTGTATGACAGTCCCAGAGAAAAATGATCAAATTTCCCAACTCTCCCTCTAGTAGAGCCTGTCCAGTCCAGGCTCCTCCTACTCCTCCAAGCCCCACCGCTTGCTAGCCATACTCCATGATCATAATGAAACAAGAGCAAACACGTCAGGAAAAAGAGGAGGGAGTGTTGTTGTTTTTTTAATTCTCTTCACTGATTTTCACGAGAGCCAGATGGAACAATTAATCCCCAATCAACATAGGAATATTAAGTAGCCTTAACTCCTGCATGAGGGACTTTGCCATCCTCGTTGTGTCCCATTGGCTGATGTCTATCCAGCTAAACACAATGCCTCAGTTAGTTGCGTGGATCTGCAGTCCTATCTGACAGATGGGAAGGGTTTCTATAAGCCTGACTGCAGCTTCAGATATACCCAGATATTCTCACACTAAAGATCTGCCTTCAGCATAGCCCTTGAGATGTCTCCACAAAGCACGTCATAAGCTATCATGCGGAAGGCTGACTATACAGTGAAATTCTAATGTGAGTAACTTTTGCAATTGGCCTAATTCCTAAGTAGCTTTAATACTGTCAAAATTAAACACAATATTGTCTGACATTCACTGCCCATGCTGAGTACAAGCTGTAGCCTCTTAAAGTTCCATCACATGGGTTTTGATGTAGTTATACAAGCCTGCACTATCCTCTTCAAGTGTGAATGTTTAGTGTGTAAATACGTATTCATTCATAAACATAGCACAAAATCTGTTTGCAACAAATTATTTAGCAGCTGGAGTGTTTATAGCGTCCAATGCAGCTCTGCAAGTACTCCATATGCACAGAGTCAACATGAATTATCTTACTGGTCTGGAATAAACCAACAGTGATTATTCATGGGAGATCATTTGCTATACAATTGGGCCAGGAGATGATCAGGTAAATGTGAAGTTGGAAGGAAATGGGCGCTCGGATGGAGTAGCTGGACCAAATCGCATCTGCTGGCTGTTTGCACATGGATGTGCAGCAGCTGTAGCCAGGAGAGAAATGTGTTTTTATTCAAAGCCCCTGAGACGACCAACAGCCTTCCTGCAACAAATGCAGTAAACCAGCTTAGTGGAGTGTATCAAAAGGATGAAACCTCTTTTCTTTCATTTTGTCTGTGGCAGAGTCCCATATTGACAAAGACATTCAAAAATTGTGTACAGTTGAGTGCATTAAGCCTCCGCTTCAATAAATATCACACGCCACTTTAAGCTGTTCTGAGGTGCTACAAGCAAACAAACAGACTTACTTGAAAACTTCACCAAAAGTCACTGTTTTCACAGCTATGAGCCTATAGTCGCCTACAGCAAGGCACAGTCCAGTTCTCTCATCTGTGTCCCATCTTATCCTTCATCCTCCAGGTATGAGGGCAAGCAAGAGAGAACAAACACGTAGTGGCTTAGCTTGACTCCTCAGGCGTCTCCTCTGTCAGTGCTTTTGTCTCATCGACTGTTGCCTCCCATCAATATATCCAAAGACCAAGGGCAGAATGTAGTGACAGTGGTAGTAAAGTGGGGCCATTTTATCTGTTAAGATGTCAACTTCAGCCAAATCTGATGCTGCTTTTGCTGAGGGACCGTTTCTGTGGCAGGAGGCACAGACACTGCCAGCAGCTTGCAGGGGATTACTGGTAGAAGTGATTGATGTACTTCTTCTGCAAGGAGAAAAGGCAGCCCCAGGCAGTAGGCTCTAATAGTCCATTAGCTTTTTTATGCCTTCGAATTAACTGCATACATTGCTTTATGGCTTGCATGTAGCACTTTGAATCTTAATAAAATGTTTTTGTTTTCAATTTTATAGAGTTTATGCTGTGCACAAGGAAAACATGTCTGTCTTCGCTCGTATCCTGGTTGAACTGAAAAGGCGCTGAATTGAATGAAGCAAGGTCATCCTTTCTACTTCAGCTACACTGACAAGTAAGCAAGGCTTTCAGAGGCAGTAGAAAGAGCATCAGATGCTTGTATTTAACTTGCTTGTGTGTAACCTTGCGTCGTGCTTAACATCTGCACAGGCAGTGAGTCTCTGTTACACTCAGTCTGTATCTCCTGTGTGCCGTCACCTGCTGGTTTGAGTGGCAGCCTGTGGTGTGTTGAGTGTATGCA